CCCCACGGGCCCGGCGGAGCGGAGCGGCACCAGGCACAGCTGGGCTCTGCGCAGGTCCCACAAGCGGGGGGCAGCGGCACCGCTGCCGTGTGTCCGTACAGACCGGGGCCGCCCTCGATGGCACCACGGGGTGCGTTGGGCCCCAGCACCTCGCGGGGTCGGTTTGTGCCTCAAACCAGCCGCCCCGTGCACCGGCCTGCAGGGGTGTCTCATCCCGTCACCGCTCTCTCCCAGGGCCGCAGCCTGGCCGAGCTCCCCGGCGGCTGCTGGTCCACAGGGAGGTCCCAAGGGCCCGGTCCGGCCGCAAGGGCCGTCCCGAGCCCTGGCAGAGCCCGGGGAGCCGCGCTCGGCGCTTTGGCAAGGAGCAGCCCTGGGGAGCAGCGATCACCCGGTGCTTAAGGCAGGCGGGTGCCATCAGAGCAGTTTGAAGGGCCGCAGCGCGGCGCGAAGCAGAAAGGCCGGGAGAATCAGAGCGCTGGGGCCAGGGCACAATGGCAGCAGTGCTTTTTGTGGGGGGAAACGTCTTTAAGTCACAGCTGTTAAAGCAGTTGCAGAAAACCCAGAATGAAGCTTTATTTCCTTATTAGAAGAGACGCCACTTTGCTTGTAACGGCCATCGCCGCAGCCTTTGCCGAATACCCCTTCCTGGGGGTCGGCCTCTTTGTGTTAACTGGAGGCCAAGGACAGTGTCTCAGCGCAGGACACCGAGACCCCTTGGAGCGCAGAGCCAGCACCGACCGCTGCGGTTTCCCTGCCGGAACGCGGAGCCGTCGCGCGGTTCTTTGGAGGGACGAGCTCCTTACGGCAGACAAACGGCACCAGGACGAGGCCGGGCTCCCCGCGCGGCGCCGGCCCAGCCAAGTCACGGCAGAGCGGAAGGAAAATGGGCACCCGGGAGGGTCTCGGGTGAGTAACCTCCACCCGTGCCTTTTTCCCTTCCCAAAGCCAAGAGCGGTGTCAGCACATGCCCTGCAGCAGAAACGTTGCCAATTTTCCTTAAAAAAAAAAAAAAATCTAAAATGCCTTAAAATCACAGGCCCTTGGCCACAGTGCTGCTCCCCAGCCCCTGCCCGGGGCCTCTGCTGCCCACCCCGGCCTGGATGCACCCGCTACCTGCCACCTCAAGGATATTTGTGAACCCCCTAATTTTAGGAAAAGGAACCGTTTTGTGTTGCGCTTTCCCTTGCGGAGCGTGGCAGCTGTTCAGACCTCCCGATTTGCCCCGTGTCCATGTTGGGCCCCACATGGATCAGAGCGGATGGGTCCGATACCACTTCAGGCTTCGCCGCCCCCAGACCGCAGCTCCCGCCGTGCTGGGGGACAGCGGTGCCTCCACCTCGGCTGCCAGCCCTGAGTGCGGTGCAGCGCCCGCTCCCCCCGCAGCGGCGCGCGGAGCTTCGTCCCCCTGCCCTGTTTCGAGGTGTTATTTTTGCCTTGGCTTCCTCCAGGAGGGGACAGAAAAACGTGAATTTTAAAGGAGTCTTTGGAAAACCCCCCCCCCATCTGGTCATACAGGAGGGAGGTGCAAACAGGGCCCTGGACCCTCCTGATGCTGCGCGGATCGGGGATGTCCCCTCTCGTCCAGGCAGGTTTGTTGTAGACAGAGCAGAAACTCCTCGAGGGTTAAAGCTCCCGGCAAGCAGCGTCCGCAGGGGGAGCTCCGCGGAGCGGCTGGCCAGGAACCGGAGCCAGGCCCAGCTCCCCGCGCCGGCAGCGCCCGCGGAGGCGCCCGCAGCAGAGCGACGCTCGGAACCTTCTTCCAGAAACGACACCAGAACCGTTACAGTTACAAGTAGTTAAATTTATTAGACCTCTATAATTTTTATAGTTTTTTTTTTTTTTTAAAAAAAAAAAAAAAAAAAGGCAAAAAAGCAAAAACAAAAAGAAGAAAAAAAAATCAAGTTCACTTATACATCACCCCTCCCCTAGCCCCAAAAGCCACCTACAAAATAAAAAGGAAACAAAACAAACCAGGCAACAGCAAGGAGGGGACGCGGCCGCCGGGCGCGCGGCGCTGCAGCGCCCGGCCCGGGCAGCTCCGCGGCGTC